CGTGTCGGATGTCCTGGTCGAATCCCGCGCTGGCAAACTTTTATTGTGGTGGAATTTGAACGGGGCGGAGGTAATTTAAACGGGGCGCAACGATTCAAACAGGGGGGAGTTTTCCCAAACGGGGCGCAACGATTCAAACAGGGGGGAGTTTTCCCAAACGGGGCGCGCGCGCCCCGTTTGCGCAACGTAGGGAGAACCCTGGAACAGACATTGATATACATACAGCAACCTTCACAGAATTAATACATGATCATAAAACATGATAATATTGAATGCTATGTATAATTGTATATATATATACAAAGTAAGATTAAATTAAATCTATGCTATTATTAACCAATTATCCGATTATAATCGATTATCGATCGGTTAAGGGAAACCGATAATCGATTATGAAATTCCAGCCGATTCCCATCACTAACTACTACTACTAGTACTAGTAATAATTCTAATATAGCCACAAGTTCCCTTCTCGCTTAACACTACGTTGGCGTGAGGTCCTACGACCTACGACCTACGTCCTACGACGTGTAACAGTCGGAGAGCCTGGTCGGTTTACTAGTAATAGTACTAGGCCTAGTAGTAGTATTCGTTTTACTAAGACTCGCTCAATCTCCACCGCCGGTGTAGTACCTTCACTTCCACTACAGTAAGTACATGTAGCGGAAACGAAGGTACTACACTGGTAGATCTATAACAATGTATTCTCTAGTTGAGTATGGACTGATTCGATGTAAATGATGCGGAAATGGTATTCTCCAACACATTGTCTAACCGCCCGCACACCATTCTTCCCTACTCTCTCTCTCTCTCTCTCTCTCTCTCTCTCTCTCTTTCTCTATCTCTGTCTCTCTCTCTCACTCTCTCACTCTCTCACTCTCTCACTCTCTCACTCACTCACTCACTCACTCACTCACTCACTCACTCACTCACTATCTCTCTCAGCTGGTATCCTGCAGTTTCATGCTCGCTGTTGGTCAGTGCTAGTGTCCCGTATTGGACACAGTTTTAATACTGCGAGCATAGGAAGTGTCCTGTCTTATAGTATACAGTTTTTGGTGCATGGAAATGGCAGTGAATCTTCGCAGCATGGCAGGCTAACTGGTCTCTGCTCACGAGCTCTGCCACTATAAAAACTAGACAGAGGGCACTCACGGAGAGTGCATACCTCCGCCAGAATGTAACATGTATGTGTTACGAGCTGGCTCGCTGCGCTGGCTGGCTCGCTGGCGCGCTAATATCGATCGCGCGAACACACTAACACACTAACACACAAGAGCGATCACATAATGAATCTTCCAACTCCGTTGGGCGGAGGTAATCAGACATTGCCGCAGTCAGGTATTGGTGTTTTTGGTTTGTTTGTGTTCGGTAAACTGCCCTATTTGGCCAAATTACAGTGACTACTTTGATTTGGGAGTGTCAGACTGAAGTCAGGACGTTTATATTCCTAGCTAGAACATTTTTATATTATATAATGAGCTACAGCTTAGCCTGCTATGCTGGACTAATTTACTGGTGTTTCCCAGCACTGTGGGCCATTAGCCCTATAGCAGGAAGGAAAGGCTATACATTGGTAGAGCTATACTGTCTCTTGCTGTTTGTTGTTTCTCTTCTGTTTTCTATAGTAAATTGTGACATCCCTTACTACTTTGTAGCTAGTGCATTATTAAATTCAATCGCAATCGATAGTGAAATCATTTAAAATGAAAATACACATGTTTTTTTTCTTGTTCATATCTCTAAGAGATGTCTGGGGAATAGGATTGAGATGACATCACGTAGTGTACATCAGCATGCTCATGTATACATATATGTTCATGGTATATTACTATAAATATATGTATGCTATTACCAGGAACTCCCAGTAATTACTTGTTATATTATTAATAATAATATGCATGTTTCTTCATTGTTTAAGCGGACACATGCACGGGCGGATAAGTATCATAAGAGGGTCTATACAAGAACAAGGTAGGTCTTCAGATGTTTACCTGTGAGTTATTGCAAATTTTGTAGTCTTCCCAGCTGCTTAGTCTTGTTAACACTGCATAAAATGCATAGAGTGGGGCAAATAGTGTTAGTTTAATAGTTTTACATTTCTTTAGTGTGCAAACAAAGAGATTATATGCCTATTTATCTTTTTGTCTATTCATGTCTCGACCCAGTGAGACTATGGTCAAAGGTAACTCCTTATATGCATCTCATGCTAATATGTGCACCAGTTTACATAAATCACACAATTCGTCATAAAATTTATAACCTTAATTCCTGTTATCCTGTTTAACAAGTGATGTATTACTGATCAGCACTAGGTGCTTTAGGAAACTTCTACAGTACTAAACTTGTTTCTATTGTTGCCTGGTTACTAAAGAGTCAGTTCCTTTTCCCCCCTTTAGATTCATTACAGCCGTGTAGATAAAAATCATGCATTTGTTAATTCTCATAGCTGCATGGTGATATTAAGTCCCAGCTGGGGTTCCAACGTCGCTTCACAAACTCATTTACCTAATCTGTGTATTTTTTTTACCTAAAAGTAAATGTTTTATTGAATGTGTATATTACTTAGGATTATTACCTTTATGTGGCAGATTGAAAGCAAACTGTAAAAAGAAAGATCGAATACTTTTCCAGAAGTCATATTAATGCCACATGTTGTGGTTTAATATTTCAAAATGAGAACAGAATGATAACAATCAACAGTGAGACCGTTTGAAACTCTAAAACGGCTTTTAGTACATCCTAAAGACAGAACAGACATGCACAACATTACGGACTGCGTCTATAAAATACCGTGTGCTATGTGTGAAAGAAGTTACATTGGAGAAACCGGCCGAAAATTTAAAACCCGCCTAAAAGAACACCAAAAGGACGTAGACACCGTAGCACCCAAATCTTTCACTAGGGCCCAGCGAAAACAGTCGGCTACCGAAATCACAAAATCCGCGATCACTGATCATGTAGCGAAGGACAACCACACCATCGATTGAATTCGCAGATCATTGATCGCGAGCCTAACAAAATCAGGCGTTGGATCAAGGAGGCCATCTGGATCCGCAAGACCCCAAATATCAACCGGGACGAGGGGGGATACAGGCTTAGTCACGTGTGGACTAAGCTATTGACCACCACACCATCTGGTGGTCAAAACTGATTAAATTCAGTTAGCTTTGAGAAAGCTTCCTGACAGGAGGCGAAACGTCAGCGGTACGTTTCATACCAGCACGGTTGAGTAACAATTAACTTGGTTATTTATATTATTCTACCAACCGAATGAACTTATTCAATGAGAATGATAACAAATGATATAATTGCCTTATGAGTAACATTAAATTGTAGTTAATTATTATAGTGAAATGATAAATGATTTATTGTAATGTTTACTCAATTTTTATTTTTGCAATTGAAGACACAAATAGATGAATTTATTTCTACTTGTACTTGCATTGCTTCTGATGAGGTTTAAACCTTGGGAAAATTTGTTATGCTAATGATTTAGTGAGAGTTGAAACAAAAATTCACCTCTTACCATTATAAACATAAAAACCTAGATATAAGGAGGAAACCGTGGCACTCTAGATGGCATGCACTTATACAATTGCTGGGATATATATGAACTAGTGCTCATTTTGTGACTTTGGGCAGAATTGGTTGCTGTTTTGTAATCAGATTGGCTAGTTTATCACAACTGGGAATGCAGAAATCTTGCTGTAAAACCGAACAGAAACATATCACACTTTACAGAGCACATGATAGCAGCTAAACAGTTCAGAATAGTCGGTCATGTGAAGGAGACCCATCTTCGATCGGGATTGGCGGCTCATGAAAGCTGCGTCCACTCCACGCGCCGTGCCCTCATTAGCCCTGCGATGCACAGTCGCACTCCGCGCAGGTTGGCAGGCTGAGGTCAACACCCTCGCACGCACGCAGCACGAATGGAGTGATAAAGGGGCACATGATCCTCATGGCGGCAGCGTTGTTGTCGGCGATAGGAGCGTTGTTTGAACACATCGCGGCGAGCAGTGGCACGATGTAAGGACACATCGGTTCCATCGTGATCGTCGGTAATGCAGCGCTTCCCTGCTGACTGTCATCACTGACCTGCTGTTGCTGCTTCTGCTGCTGCTGCTGCTGCTGTTGCTGTCGCCGCTGCTGCTGCTGCCTCACACGCTGGCCCTGCTGGTTCCTGCCCCGATTCTGACAGAGCGCACCTTGCACCTTACGAATGCAACGGGGTGGATGTTATGAATGTTGAGATGTAGACAACGAATGCGTGAAAGGCTAGACTGCCGATTGTGCACAATGCTATTTACAATTGGGTTATGACCATTAAAACTAAAAAAAAAGTATCACCGGTTTTTCCGATCACTTGTAGTTAACGTAAAGAAAGTTTACAGTGTAAAGTGAAACAGCAATCAGCATTGTTACGGCATGTTTATGGTGAAGTACCTATTCAGCATTAGAGCCATTACTATTATCAGGATATGAATAATACATACCAGTAGCAGAATTACAATGAATAGGATCGTGTTTGTGGTTTGTTTAACAAACATATTGGATGTGAGTTCGTCTTCCCTTGTCCAAACTGCTTTCCGTATAACTGGATAACTCCCACTGTGCCTTTAACCTAAGGAACTGTAAGATGTAATGTTTTATCAAACTAATACTAATATTTCATCATTTGCCCAAACACTACATGACATGACTACATTAACAAACCATGGGCTCATTGTCGAACACATTGTACTTTACGATAAAGATTAGTATTGTTATAACACGAAAAAATGTATGACTTAGACTAATATTACAAGTACAAATTTTCTGAGATTGAATGGTGCCCAGCGTTTTATAGTTCCACACTTGCAAGGAGAGATGTTTGATTTTTCTCCTCTGAGTGATAGTTGTGTGAATGAAGATGTTTCATACCAGCAAGCACTCTGATGTGGCTAAACACTATCAGCTAATTACGCATAACCCTGCCTAAATAGTAGATCCTCTATTACAGTGATAACACGTGCCATCTCTGTAGTATAGGACAACCCAAAAGTCTTTGCTTTATGATCGCACCCATCTTGCTTGATGATAGCCAGTGAAAAAAAGAAGAAGAAGACTAGGAGTTTCAAAGCGAGTGAACTTACCTATGTCGTGAAGTGTCTGTCGACTGATGTTGCCTGCAAACGCAGCTTTACCACGACGACTAACAACAGGTGTATCGTTGTGACCCAACGTCGCACATTAGTCGATGGTAGCGACTCTTCCACTCCATTTATCTTGCACGTGCCGGTCGTTGCCATAATTACAGTTCTTGGAGATTGCAGGAGTTCGGTTCCGGGTTGGCGAAACGGGGCCGGGTCGAGTCGTTTTGTCACTCGTTTGTCACATTGATTCTTGTTTTGCGACAGCCGTTCTGCTCTAGCAGTGACTGCGCGTGCTAACGTTTGACAATAACCCGGTGATTGCAGTTTAGTCGTGGTGATAGTGTTGTACGATTTGCACTTAGTAGAAACGTGGTTTTTTTAAACTTAAAAGTAGCAGTAGTAGTCCAGAGTATGATATTCTGTGCTGGGACGCAATGTCTTTATAGTAAGTCGTCTACTGCTCACAAAGTATTATTATAGTATTCTGCAGGGATGCAAGTCTCTGTCTATAGAATTGGGCACTCCTCATATAGATAGAGTTAGATAGATAGCACTAATTGGTAGAGTATAGTACAATTATACCATATAGAGATGCGCGTCTTTGCTTTTAGAGTCGAGTATTCATCGTAGAGGAAGAAAAAGGAAACGGAGTGAAAGTGAAGAAGGGGAAGAAGAAGAAATAGAAAATAGAGAAGAAGAAGAATAAGACGAATGAAAAGAAGAAGAAGAAGAAGTATCAGTAGAAAATGAAAAAGTACACACATGCATTGCTAATATAATTACTATTTAAACATTTCAATTACAAAAGAGCCTTTACTGTTGTTGGGCTGAACTGAACGCGAAAGTGTCATGTCTACTAGTTGGCATCATCCTATGGGGAAAAGGGGTATAGCCAATTTCTTGAGAATAGCTGGGCGTACACATGCGCGCCTATTACTCTCTTCTCTTCTCCATTCTATACATACTGTGATAACGTATGTGCGTAAGTGCGCGCGCGCGTGCGTGTGTGTCTGTGCATGCGCGTGTACTCGTGCGTGTGTGCGAGTGAGCGTGCGTGCGTGCATGCATGTGTGTCTGTTTCATATATGTTAATGGTTTCATCCACAAGTCTTCTGACGGCTGGCATGAAACAAATTATGTTGTTTTGGCTCTACCAACGAGTTGAACTTTGAGGACAATGTTAAATGCAGTTTACAGACGATATATTCTAGGTTACACAGGTCACGCATGCTAACATGGCCCTATTGTGCCAGTGTGCTTGCCATGGGCTGATCGAGTAGTGAGTGCACAACACTGAAATTAAATCTGGGTAACGTGTGAATTTACGTGTGGTTCCTATTCGAACTCAAACCCCTTTACCTTTAAAGGATGGCTGCTTTTGATTTTGATGTGTAACTAATTAAGCCATGTTCAGAACTTTGGGCAACCATTTAATTTTCCATTCACACGCTACTCTAACGTAGGTTCTTTAGTATATACATCAATAATGTGTGTGTGTATAACTATGCTTGCAGATGGGGGTTGAGAGTAAATCCACTGTTACCCCACCAGCGGAGCCAGACAATGCTTCAGCCTGTGCTAACCCAACGAAGTCACCTTTCATCACTCATATCCATGTGAACGTAGCACTGATACTGCTGAGTGCAGTTGCCATGGCTACGCGATTTTGGCAGCTGTCTCAACCAGCTAGCATCGTGTAAGTACTGTTGTATTCCTCACTCTAGGACGTTGTACGTGGGATGTAGGTGAAAGCTGTGTAGGCGCCGGGCACCCAGTGGCAGACCCAGAAGTGAATTCTATGGGGGGGGGGGCGAATCATGCGAGCTCAATTACACGAATCGCCCGAGGGGGGAGGGTGTTGGAGGGGGTGTCCCCCTCCCACTGTGTGGAATTGTTAAAAAATTGCAATCTAAAAGCAATCAATTTTGGACATCTTTATCATAAAATATCAGTCCTGGGATTTTTCCTTCAGTAATAATAAAAATAGCTAAAATACCCTTGCCCTGAAAATTCTAGAGGGGCGACTGCCCCCTGTGCCCCCTCCCTCTGGATCCGCCACTGGCACCGTAGCCCCTCTCGCTGCGTACTTGATAGTGATACCGACGTTTATAATCCTAAATTGTATGTTTGCTTGTGTATGTATCATTCCAGTATAATTTTTTTAAAGTCTAGGTGTGGCCTTTCAATGCTACCAGGAATGTTTTGGCAGTGTGCAGTATAATGTTTTATGGTTTCTAAACAATAGTGTGACACAAGACTAAATTATGGCTGTAGCACATTGTGTGTAATAGGGTGTTGTTTGTAACCATAATATAATTTCTTCTAGATTTGATGAACTCCACTTTGGAAAATTTGCCGCATTATACATGAACAGGACGTTTTTCTTTGACTACCATCCACCATTGGGGAAGCAATTATTGGCACTTGGAGGTACAGCCGTCTTTGCAATTCATAGTGGAGAGAATCTTAGTAAATATTCTGCAAGTCACTCTCTGATTTCTTGGAGCTGTCGCTAAGGGACGCATGACCTGAAAGGAGTGACAGTTGACAGTAACAGCAATAAAACACACAATGTTATTACAATCAACTGGTTGCTGTGGTGGTTGGATCCGGCTACTAAATATACATTAGCTAGGCTGTATCTTTTACATGGAATTGTAACTATTTCGTTGAAAATCATTTAGGTAAAAGCTCTGGGTCAGCTTTGTTCTGACAGTGGGTCATAGTCCACCTGAGACTTTAGACTGTATAAGACTGTAGACTGTCTCTGTTGCTGTTGAGCCGTAAACTAAACACAGTTTTGTAGTGCCACAGAGATCATCTGCTATTTATTTCTCCCGTTTGTTATCTTTTGTGATATGTAAAAATGTAATCTTAACATCTTTTTCAGCCTGGCTTGGAAACTTTGATGGTAACTTCAAATTTGAAAGAATAGGACAAAGTACGTGATTTTACTAGTTATGGTCATAAGTACTTAATTGTCAACATGTGCCATTGATTAGGACTGCAAAGTTATAAACACTCTACCTTGGCTCAGTCCATCCAACTAGAGCTGATATATATTTAGTCTCTTGGCGTTTGTCATGGAGTATAGGGCCCTCAGTAACTGTGCTGCTATGGTTTCATTAACAGCTTTGTACCGCAAAGTTGCTCTTTGCTATGCAGGTAAGATAATGCTACAAGATAAACCGATTTCTACATCAGGTATTTGCTGAAGCAAATCGGGATAAAGTTCTTTGCTCAAGGACACAACAGCAGTGACCAAATTAGCTTTACACTACAGACCTTTTACCATGAAGCCAATTCTGCTGTCTGCTAGACCATCACTGCTCCCCCCATGATTAGATGAAAGAAAATTAACGAGCAATGCAATAAAAGTATTTTTGCCACTCATTTCCTGAATGCCACACAGTTAGTCACACAAAGCATCGTGTTTCCATCATCGCAGTGCAAAATCTCGTATAGTTATGTCTTGCCTGCAGGTTACGCATCCACCGTTCCAATATGGCACATGCGATTGATTCCGGCATTGTGTGGCAGTCTCATTGTGCCGGTGGCATATCAGACTGTTGTTGAGCTGGGCTTCTCTCACTATGCAGCTACGCTCACCGGTTTTCTCATCGTGTTCGGTAAGTAAACAAAAATAAAGAAGAAAAGTCTACGGTCGTGCAAGACTACTGTGCTCCTATGTTTCTGGCGCGTTTGTGAGTTATGCATGGCTTGTTGTCGTGTGTCATTAGAAACATATGACTAGGTCAAGTGGGAGACATGTGGATCTACCTTGAATACTAGCACCTTCCTTGTTGATTTGTGCAAAAGGCGGTTTAGCCGATAAACAGACTGAATACAGTTCGGACCATTTCAGATTTCGAGTGTGTACGGCTCAAACGTAATCGTGGCTGATCATATTCGAAATGTGACTTCATCACGGTTACAATTGCAGCGTAATTGTTTGTCGATAGATGGCGCTCTCCTTGTACAGTCACGCTTCATGCTGCTAGAGCCGATGCACGTCTTGTTTGCAATGTCTGGTCTGCTAGCGGTACTGCGGCTGCAGCGGCTTCAATACAGGTAGGCTTTTTACCTGTCTGACGAGCTATGCTTATCACATCAGTACAGGTATAGCCTGTTAATATTCATTATGGTTCCAATATCAGTACAGACCTGCCTTACTCCCGTGTACCAAGTAATACTTCCCATTCCCCCCACAACGAATCCAGGTATGCTCACCTAGCAGGCTAGCAGCATCCATTCTAATTAGGAAGTAAGCTTTCAATCTCCCAATGTCAGGCTGTCTCCCTGGCTCTTTCCTTCTCATTATCGTCAATGACAATTATATAGTGTAATATGGAAAATGCATGACGTGGACATAACGGAGATAGACCTGAGAGTAAGGCATATTGATAGAAAGCGGAAGGCATGTGTGCTAGGTCTCAAGTTACTTAGTAGAAGATAATTAGTCGAATTATTGGAACACTAGTACGAATGCAGAAACAGGGGCAGTAATGACTATGTATTAACTCTGTAGCTGCATGTGATAAGACGAAGTCTTTATGTTATCTGGCTTATCACTTGTCGAGAAGACAAAGCAGCTGTAGTGAATCACGGAACTGGGTGAACTTTCAATAAAAAGTGGGGCTAGAGGCCCAGCAGGGAGACTCCAGTGATTTGTTACTCTGGTCACCTTACTGTTGTAACCGTTGGTTTATAGTGGTGATAAACCGTTCCCTGTGAATGTCACGTTTGGTTTTTACTCGGTCTCTTAATCTACCAACAGAACTAGTTCACTGCTACACTGGGTAAGCTCATCTTTCCCCAGCATGCCATATTCATAGGTTCCTCTCTATTCTGATATGTAATACAGTCAGCTGCTGTTAATTGTTCAATTATTGAATCATTCTTTGCTCACTTTTCAGACCTTTCTCAGTTCAGTGGTGGTTCTGCCACAGTGTCCTAGGTGTGTCAGTCATATTGGCATTATGGTAATATTTTCATCAGTTCATTCTTTCTTTTTTTCTTAATTGATTATAGCCTTTGATTGATAAGGGAATGTGCGAATGATGTCAGACTTTCAGTATCATTTACCTATAGCTAACTTTGTGGTAGAGAGTACAATACATTGTTAAGTTTGATTTGCATGCCATACACACTTGCTCAATAGCATACAACCTGCATTATATCAGGGGCCAATAATACATTGTACATGTATATTTTCAGGGTTCTTGTTAACTTTTGACAAAGCAGGTAATTTGACAATGAATAGCAGGTAACTGTTTTTCCGGCACAGACGGTAGGCCGAGCGGCAAAGGCGCGAAGCCCTGCTAGGGTGGTCCAGGGGCATGCACCCCCGGAAAAAAATTTCTGATTTGACCCACAAATAGCCTATTTTGATGGGTATGGGTTCTAGAATTTGGTAGTTTAGATAGGAAAATATATGCTATTAAGTATTTATTAAAAAAAGAAAACCCCGCCTGTGCACA